CAAATATTATCGAAGTTACTCCAAATAATAGTTGAAAAAACATGAATTTGTTCGAGTACTATTCGGGGTCAATTTTACTTTTTTCAACCCTGACCAAAACTAATTATTCAGTTAGTTAAGGAGAAAAAGTAGTTGCCTATTGAAGAGTTAAAGGTGCTATTTTAAAATGATCAAAAAGCATCTAGTCATATGTGCAATGACAAAAATTCCCTTAGATGTAAAATGACCAAACCGCCTTGGAGGTAAAAATTACGAAACTCTTTCCGATAACCCAATCACGATTGTAGCTTGTTCTAACCATCATCCGATAATCCTTTAGGCACATTAACTAGCTTGTACGGTGGAGGAGGTCCTCCTTTTTTGTTCTAGAGTAGTGGCGGTTGTCGTTATCTATAGAGGAGGGAGATCGACACCGATGAAGTTTTGACAAAATCTCCCTCTCTTCCTAATAAAGATTCCGATCAGAATAGGGGGTTTTGAAGATACCAATCAACTTATGGGACTATGAGGAATGTTTCTAGAGTGGTTTGCGGGTTTGATTTGACCTTGATCAATCGATTTAGTGGGGTTGCAATAAATAGGTTGGGGAAATCGACCGTCGTCAATTTGACTATTTCTTGGTGACTTTGGGTTGTAAATTCAATGGGGAACCATTTCTAGGAGGGGGTCAACCATTTCGTGGCGGTGGTGGGTGGTGGTTTGACTAAAAAATGGAGATTTGATTAGGTATGTAACCGAGTCGGTTCATCGTGATGCTACTCGCTAATTTCTCTCTCCTTCGACACCCTCTTCTCTTCTAACAACTAGAGATAGGTCAATTTAGAGCTGGGCTATCCATAGATTGTGGTGGTTGGAGGCAATATCGAATTAAAGGTAATTGATTTAAGAGAATAAATTCGATAGGTCTTGCTTGGTATGCTATTTGAGTTCTTTGGGTTCTTGAGGGTCGTTCGGATTTGTTTTTTCATATTTTAGGTTTTTTTTATATATAAAGGTTTTTATAGGGATTTTTAGGTGATGGAGAATGGATGGATGTGTGGGGCTGTAATGGTTGGCTAAATTAAGGGGAAGGCTAATAATGGTTTTAATGGATATGGAGAGATTCAACCAATTAAACAAAATTAACCAAATCAATTAATTAATTATAAATCAAATTAACTAAATTAATTATAATTCTAAACCAAATTAAATTTAAAAATAATAATTAATTAACAATTTCTAATTAAAATAAAGTTAAAATTCAACCAATTAAACTAAATTAGCCAAATTAATTAATTAAAAATAAATCAAATTAACATAATTAATTCTAATTCTAACCAAATTAAATTTAAAATAACAATTAATTAATAATTTCTAATATAAATAAAATTAAAATTCAATAAATTAAACAAAGCTAACCTAATTAATTAACTAAATATAAATAAAATTAACTTAATTGATTAAAAATTAATTCGATTAAATTTAGATATTTTCCTTATAATTAATAAAAATTAACAAATTAATAAATTAATCAATAAATTAACCTAACAATTTAACAAATGAATCAATAAAACATCAATTAAATATATACAAAATTATAAATCAAGCAATTAAACTTCAAATTAACATAATAATTACAACAACTTACTAACTTTAATTAAGAAAGCAAAAAAGAGAAAAATCTTACTTAATTCGGGTGAAATTACACCAAGAGAAGGGAAGAAAAAATGAGAGTTTTTTTAGAAAAAGAACCTTGAATGGGTGTGGATTGATTAAGAGTGGAGAAGTAGGGTTTGGTGGTAGTTTGGAAGGTAGGGACATCGACGACTAGTTGGAGAAGGAGAGGAAGAAGAAAGAGGTAATTAAGGATTGAAAAATAGTGACGGACGCGATACCATCACCGATCCGTCACTAATTAGCGATGAACACTTACGTTCATTGTTAATTTTTTGAAAAATGGGCAAAGTTGGCTGTCCATTTTTTACATATAGTGACGAACGTTAACATCTATCAATAATTTAGTGGTTTTGACTTTCAAAAATTTCACCTAATATTTCACATTTAGCGATGGACCTTCCTCGTGCTAATTTAGGAGGGACATTTATTTTAGTGATGGATACTCAATTGCTAAATCCAAACATTAAAAATAACAACATACAAGCAAATCAATCTCTAAACTATCACTAAATCTCTCAAGAACATTTTGCCATCAAATTTAATGACGGATTGTGTCCCTCGCTATTAAATCATCACTAATCTATCTCTATTCCATTCGTTGGTTCCAACGGACACTATTTTGTCGCTTTTGTTTGCTATTTAGCGATAGAAGTTTATTTGTCTTTATTATATATCGTTATTTGATGGGGTTTTTTTACAATGAATGGTTCAAATTTGCCTCGATGTTAAAAACATTATTTACAATCTATCTTTGTTTATGGTACTCATCGGTTTTTATTTCGACTAGTTTGTGATCGTTTTAATTATTTAATTATCAAGTTGTGCTTATAATTTGCATTTTTTAGATGGTTGTAGTTATTAAGTCATGTTTATATTTCACATTAGTCTGGGTTTAGGTGTGTTTGATCATGTTGTTTTCTAAAAAGTCCTTGTTTCTTCCTTCTTCGTTGTTAATTTCAGATTTTTTTTCTATGCTTCGGTCTCGTCTCTTGGTCCTATTTTATATCAAGTCATCGACATTATGTTTTATGTTATCTCTACATGTTTGCACTTTTTTGTTTTTTAGTTCCATTCCATGCATAACAATTGCTATGCTCGTTCAATAAATTTGTTTGCTTTTCTTTTTTACTTGTTCATTTATATATTTTGTCAAATAAAATTTATCATTAATTAATCCAATTCTTTTAATTCGGCTAGAAATACAAAAGGATGATATATTTCTTCCTTTTCAAAAGAATTTTTTTATTTATATCTAAAAATCTAAAACAAAAAATTCTCTTGGTTCATTTCTAGATAGAATTTGATACATGATTGAATTCTATATTTTAGAATGGAATATGGGATGTAAAACAATGTATATGGCCTTTTTGTTTTTACTTGATTTTATATATTTCATATACTAGATATTCTATGAGATATTTGTGACAAATGCACCCTTATCAAATTTTTAATCTTGAACTTATATGTATCTTTACCATACTAAACCAAGTGGGTCATTAGGCTTCAATCGGGTTATTATATTCCATTTTCTTAGGAAAAAAACAACTTAAATCAAAATATTTAATAGCACGATGACATATTTATACAAAATTTTTACCTCGAGCACATGCAATGGAGCTGTTGATAGTTACACGATTTCTTCTTGTTTCATATATAATATTTACAAGCATATCTTAATTTTAATGAAAATCTCAGATATCATTATTACTTCTAGATTTTGCATATATTTTCTAACTTTCTTAATAGGCTAAGAGCATTCATTCTCAAGTATGGTTATTTTTTTTATCTTCTTTTTTCCTCTCTTTTTGAAGAGTAAATCAAGGTTGGATCTTTTTGATCCTGCGTACGCTTACCAAGCGTGAGTGGAACCTTAGGACCTATTAACAAAAAAACTAAAAGATAACTAAAGTTTACTATTTAGTTACTATTAGTTTTTTACCTGCACTATACTGCAAATCGAATGTAACATATAAAATTATTTCGGTTTTAATATCTTGTGTTATATTGTATATCTATTAAAATATGTTAAATAAAAATTCGTTTAATTTTTTAATCAAAATTTTATATTTAAATGACTATTGTTTATATTTTTTTATAAATTCTTAATTTAAAAATATTATTTATTTATTAATTCTTTCTTCTTCTTCTTCTTCTTTTTTGGTTAAGCTTTCTGGTGTATGACATGGACATTGGCCTAAGTGGCTCCTTGAGAAACCTTTTCTTTATATGCTTTCATGGCTTCCCGTTGTATTTAAAACTTAAGTTCCAAAAAATGGTGACTTTCGCTAGAAAATAGATAAAGCTATGTTATGGGATTTGTTTCCCCTCTCAGTAATTTATGCGTTGCAATTTTTGTAATGGGTCCTAAATGCTTTCTCAACAAAACATCAAAGGAGTGATACGTAAAGGAAATTAAGATGTTTGCTGGAAAACCTATTTTAGAGATGTTAACTGGTATTTAAATCCCCCAAGTTTCTTTTATGTGCAACGATACACATGGCTTTCATAAAATATTTCCCGTGCATAATCAACCCAGTTTAAATTGGATTACGAAATATGAGTTGATCTTTCAAATAATTATTGTGAGGAGCTAATGGATAGATTGTTCTTCAGAGTTTGGACTCTCTGTGTATATGTGGAGAAAGTAGCATACGCTCTATGGGATCAGTTTTGACATTGGCAAAAAAATAACAATAAGGGAGTCTAATAGATTTATACTATCTGGAAACTTATTTTTTGTAAGAAACATCCCATTTTGTTGCCTTTCTTCTGAAAGAAAGTGACTGCTATGCTAACTTCAGGGAATGGATCTGGAGTCAAATCCATGTGAGAAACTGGATTCTATGCCTGCAACAACTAATAGCATGGCTAGCTCAAGTTTATCAAACATGATCACAAAGGTATATTAACAAAATACTCCCAAAAATAATGCATAACGAAGGTTAACAGGAATGAATATTACTTACTTTATCAAACATGATCAAAGGTGTATTAACAAAAAAGTCAGAGTTCTCAAACAGAATAAATCATGGCCTCGTCATCAATTAATCTCAAACCGATTACACACTACAGACACACCTTCTCTATGCTATCAACATCAATTTGTGACTTCTAAGTTGCAAATTTATATAGTTTTATTACTATGTAACTATAGAAGGAAAAGAAAAGAAAAGAAACAATAGCAGCACCAATCGGGTGGTGTCAGAAAGCAAAAGCCACTGAAAGAACAAAACGTTAGGAAGTTGAGGATTTTCTTTAAGAACAAAAGAAGAAACTTTTGACAGCTATAATAAATCATGCATCCATACAAAAAGAAACTAAGAAATCAGTTAACATATCAACATTTACATTGGTTTCCTTACAGAAGACAAAGCAGAACTTACAGCATCATCCTCTAGGTCATCCTCATTCTAAAGGATCTGAAGTGGATCAAGAACTTGAAGAAAGCTTCACAGTCCTCAATTTTGGTGACAGGTTTGGTATTCTTTGACCCCATTCTTGGTTTCTTCTTGCAACCTTGTTTGTCAAGCATTTTTCAAGAAATAAAATTATACCTACAAACATTTTCCAAGAAAAAAAATTATACTCACAAACAGAATTATCATAGATAAAGAAGATCAAACAAATAAAGAAAAATGCTGCCATCTGGAAAAACCTCAAGAAACTTGTAGGTGACTAATAAAAAAATATACCTCTTCTATATTTAGGTCAAGACATAATCTTCGCCAGCCAACCAAACTGAAAGAAACAGATGTAATGTTATTCTCTTTCTATAACTTCTTGCTCTCTGGGAATAATTTATAGCTTTTTCCTCAACATCTGCCACAGCTTCTTTCAGTTCAGTTCAGTTCAGTTTAACTAATGACTCACTTCTAACAGCATCCAATCAAGGTTTCAATCTCCTCACCTGTAAAAAAAATAGAGAGAGAGATTTAATAAGATTAAAACCTGATTCATTTTCTTAAGTTCTTGATCTGCTAAAACAAAACAGGTAAAGATAGTAGCTAAGATAATTATCCCTATCATCAGTTCTAATACTAAGTAAAGAGTATATTGGAATCACACTGTTCAAAGCACAATCCGATAATCAAGATACTGCAAGTTCTTTATGACATCAAAGCAATTGTACCTGATTAGCAAGAAAAGTAACATTTGAACCAACTGGAAGTGCCATAACTGTGAATTTATCTGGATTCTCAGCTACTATATATAATGTCTGCAAGGTACACAAATGAATGAACATTAATGGCTAGAACTTATTTACATAGTTTTTTTTTTATTTGAATACATAAAAGAAAATATTAAAAAGAGAAGAAAAAAAAGGCAAAATCTAAGGAAAAAACAAAGATAATACACATTATTGAAAGATAATTATTTTTGGTTAAGCAATTGACCCAATAAAAAATAAGGATACCCAACTCCGATAAAGGCTATATTTATCCAAAATTAAATTAACATAGAGTGAAAACTAAGAGTGACCCTTCCTACTTCTTTTAAAGAGAATGTTATCAAGCAAAACACATGTTGTATAAGCCTACTATCCTATGAGCTTTTCTGCCTCATTGGCTCACTCTATTTCAAAATATGCAAAAAGCAGTAGTCAATTAAGTAGAACATCAAGTTTTGTTAATGGCCAAATTATATAATTACCAGAGTTCCAATGGAACCAGCAGATCCAACAATTGACAGAGACTTAGGATAATGCTAAGTCTTGTGTCCAAGTTCTTGAACATCTCTTCTTGGCCAAGCTGGAGGTGGCTGATTCTAAATAGAACACTGAAGTCTTCCCTCTCCACGGTCCTTTCTCTTTAAATTAAGCCCACCTGTATTCAGCACCACCAAGCACCAAAGTTTTGAACTCTTTCTTTCAACCACAAAAATAATGAAATTCAAATCAAAGTCTTCAAAAAAGAATTCGTTCTTAAACTGAAGAGTCACTCAAAAGTCATTTTTATACATAAAAGCAAAAGATTCCTAATTGTCTCAAATGTTTGACCTTTCCATGATACCCTAAAGAAAAATTATTCAACTTTCTTCTCCATTACCTTCTAAAAAACCTTTCCTTTTTTTTTAAAAAAAAAAAAAAAAAAAAAAAAAAAACCAGAAATGGATAGGCAGTGAAAAAAAGAGTCGAAAAGAAAACCCTAGAAGCCTAGGCAGATTATTGAATTTAGTAGAATCCATGAAATAGATAGCCTTAATTTCAGCTGGAGATAGAAAAATAAGAGTCATCTTGCTGTAGTTAGTTAACTAGTGGATGAATAACCCTCAAACCTTCTTCCATTTGAAACTTTATAAATCCATTCAATGTTATTCTCAATCATACTTTATAATAATTTTCCTAGAAAAGCAAAATTGAGAATGAAGTACTGGATAATGAATGATGATAAATATTACCCATCAAACCAAAGGATGCATGCTCTCCTTGTGGATCAAACTACGCCTATTCATCAACAATTTCTTTCCATTATCTGGACAAAATCTCCAAGTCCGTAAAGAAAAACATATCAACTGCTAAAAAACACAATGCAAGAAGCATAATGGGACGGAGATGCATGGAAAGGAAAAAAAAAAAGAAAAAGAAAAGTAAGCAAGCAAGAAAGCAAGGAACAACTTTTCCTGGTAAAGATGGAGGTGACTGATTTTGAACAGAGTACTGAATTCCTCTCCCTCTATGGTCCTTCCTCTTCAAATCAAGCCCACCTGCATTAAGCACCACCAAGTACCAAAGTTTTAACTTTTTCATTTCTACTATAAAAATAATGAAATTCAAATCAAAGTTTTCAAAAAAATTATCCATTGTTAAACTCTCACCTTTTCTATGACTCCTAAAAGCCAAATTCCACTGCTTGACTTTCTCGCTCTGCTCCTGCGTGGCACTCCAAATTTTGTCTGGTAATAGAATGGGGCGGCTCGCTCTGACCAAGACTCCACTTTTTGCTCCGTCCATGGAGCATATGAATTTTCTGGAATGAGCTTCGTCTATTGATGAAAAGCGGATTGATGGAGCTCTTGGCATTGCTTTGTTTTTCTCACCACTTAGCTCTTCCCTACGTGGCGCTTCAATCTGGTGGGTGAGTACCTCTCATCAGTCTCTCAAGGCTTACCTTACTACATATATATATATCAGTTGAACATTCATCAGGTTTAAAAATAAGCCTTCTGAAAAAAAAAAAAAAGATGTATTGTGTTGAAAGATTTAAAAGAAGAGATAAAAAATCTATATATGCATATATCACATGGGATTTGACCGATCATCCCTTTTTTTTCATCTTTTCGTGTCAAATGCATGTTGTTATGAAAGTGAGGATTCGGCCTCTTTTTGGATCTAGGTCCAAAATCACTTTGTTTAGAATTGGCTAGTTTCTAACAGAATAATAAACCATTCTAGCATGTTTAAATAACTCGGTATAACACAAACAAGTTTAACTTAGTGGTTATATATCTAGTTAATTTTTTTAATGAAATAAGATTTAAGTTCTAATTATTTTAGTTTTTTTTTATGATTATATAATGGAGAGAACTATCCTCATTGCGTAGCCCCATTGTTCCATTAAGCTTCCGATTAAAAAAATAAAACACGGTATAAAGCATGATTAAAAATGAATCATTTTAAGTTAGAAAAAGATATTATTGCCTACCCTCGAATACCTTAAAGTAATTTTTAATTATTATTATAATTGGTATAACTAGCCTTTTATCCCCAAATCTCCACGGGCTCATTTTAAGTACTGTAGTTTATAACTTAAAACTAAGATGGTAAATCCATAATTTCCATCCTATCCCTTTTAGTTTGCTGAAAGTCCCATGTGACAATTAATAACAGAAGAATAAATGAATGACAATTTCATCTCGACACAAAGAAGCATCTTGCAATTATATTCAATATGCACCAGCCACCAGGTGCACGCCTGAGACTTGCCCAAACAGAGGGCTTTGCCTAAAATCTTAGAAAGCGTTCTGGTCCAAAAGCTTTGCCCCTAACATCTTAGGCGCACTTTTAACAACACTATTCATACCTAGATTTCATTTGATGGATTTTGTGATTATTACATAAACCATCAATCTCACAATGTTTTCTTGATATTAACTGAATGTGTACGATAATGTGAGAGCAATTCAAAACCAACACCTCAGGAATACATAAATTTAATGTCATATGTGGTTTCCTATTCTGTTTTTCTTTTTAAAAATATTAATTTATTTATTTTAGATTTTTTTAACCGATATAGAGAAAAAAATGATCACTATTAATGCTACAACTTTTGAAAACTAATTTATCCAAAAATTTAACTGATTCCAAGTTTTTACTTCTTTAAAAACAAAAACAAAAAAAAAAATTAAATACTAAAATTTCTTCTGCTTCTTCTTCTTCTTCTTTTTTTTTTTTTACACAAACATACAGAAACGATATCAAACAGCAAACAATTTACATTCTCTTAACATTTTCTGAGTTATAGTTCTGTGTCTTTGTTATTTTAAAAGAATAAAAAAATATTTAGCTGATATTAGAGGTTCATTATATATATATATATATATATATATATATATGAAAGTATTTTAGTTTTTTCACTTTATTTTTCTTAAAAATTCATCATAAAATATGTAAAATGTAAAGTATAATTTATAAATTTAAGCTATTTCTATTTCTGATTAATCTTAACCTTGTTAGGTGTTTTTAAGCCCACGTGCAGTTTATACCTCAGGAAAAAACTAATATGGCGAAGGTATTAAATTAAAGGTAAAACTTTTTGAATTGTTTTATTTATTTTGTTCCCTTAAAATAATTGTTCTTTGTCAATACAATACATAAAATAAGATAAATAATAAATTAATAGAACACGCGATTGATTCAATTTAATAACATTTATTTCGACCGAAGGAAGTTCATGAACTTTTAAAATTGTAATGAAAAGGAAAATGACTTTAAGTCCATTTTTAAACATCATTTTCATTTGTCTATATTATCTTCTGTGGGTTGTGGGAATACGCCAGAATCAGGAGTAATGAATTAATATTTATCTCCAAATACGCTATTATTGCATTGCCAAAAATGCTTGATTTTATTGGTTCAAAAGCAAATGGAAGTCAAAGTCCTCCTTCTTATCACCTTCAAGTCAAGTTCCAACTAAATTAAAGGAGCCTAATTTTCTTTCTGGATGGCCATCTGAGTTTTGGTATTGGATCATCAGACGCGTTAGGTAAGTCTAAGTGACGTGACAAAGTTCCATATATTAGTGTGAAAGTATATTCTACAATAATCTTGATTCTAATCTAATTGCAAGATTTCTGGTTAATTGATCATCCAAGACACTGCTAAAGATCATGCCTATATATGCCAGCATTTGTTCTTCATATGGGATTTTTTTTTATAAAATAATAATAAAAAAAAGGTTGAGATAAGCTGCTGCTCATTTTCAAACATTCTGCGTGACTAACCAAGTAGAAATATGTGTAGCACCTTCCAATTAGGTTGCAGACTAGACTAAAATCAACTAGGTAAGACTTTTCAGAGTCCAGTTGCGCTGACATAATGATTTAGGGCACTTGTTTTTTACGGGCCAAAATGGAAACCTTTCTTTGGTCTAAGCTTCTCGGATTTGAAATTCCCACTTCTATCGTTTAGCAAAGAGAAACATAAGTTATATGGGATAATTACACTTGAAGTACGCAATTTTTATAACTTTGCTTAATCAAGCACGTGTATTTTAATTTTTTTATTTGAGTTTATTAATTTTTTTTTAAAACTTCCAATCAAATACTTCTATCCATCTTTTGTCAATTGCAATTTCCTTAATAAGCTATATGAAACAGATTTTTGAAAGTCCGTTATATGATGATGCCTCCTTTAATCTTATTTGTTTGCTGGTACACAAACTTTTACTCTATCAACTCTTTGAGTAATAGATTTCATGAAATCAATTATCATAATTACATCAAAATCCTTTCCTTTCAACATTTCGATCTTAGCTAGGGTTATATAAATATCAAACCCTAATAGCTTATATATTATGACCTCATCTCAATTCTAGTTCTTGATATTATAAGATTCGTACTAGAAACTCTTTTCTAGTGAATCTCACTATCCCGATAAAAAACTTTGTTTATTAAAAATAACCGAGATAGCATAGGATCTTATCCTTGTCTACTCAAAGTAATGAATTTCATCTTGGTTAAACACCTACCTCCGATACATAACTAATTAGAGCCGCCATATGCCACATACCCATACATATGAGATAACTATATCACCTCATGTCAAAGAATTATACACACCATTATAGTCTAGATGATAAATCATTAACAATTATTAAAAACTTCATGTTACCATCATTTAATGTCACTATTCAATCTACTCAAAAAAAGGTGTCCACGTGTTTGTTTTGATACCACATATTAAATACCATGAGATTCATTATTATAAACAAACAAAGATGATAGTCTTTCATATAAATGATGCCCAATCATGTATTCTATGACTATGAACTCTTCAAATATTTGGTTTTATAAATATCTATCACTCATATTCTTAACATCTTTGAAAATAGATATTCTAACAATTTACTTAAAGACTATATTCAAAAAAAAAAAATTCATATAATGTGTCGTTACACGACATTCACGGACTAGAAAAATCTTGTTTATTTAGGAATATGAGTTATTATTAATTTTAGAGTCACCACCTAATATCAAGGAACTAGAAACCTAGAAGGGACACTAGTGTAAAGATCCTAGAATAAGAAGTTGGTTACACTTTTGAAAAGATATCAATTACCCAAAAGCATCATTTTCTTCCCAAAAGCATCATTTTCTTAAGAAAGGTATCATGTCTAACTTAGTGCTAAAATTTATCTTTTAAAACTTTCTATTTTTACCAAAATTAATCCTACAAAAATTCCAAGCTTTATTTCCTATGTCAAACTAAGTTTTTATTTTTATTTGTGACATCATATTGAACCGATCGTCAAATCCTTCCATCGAGCGTCACATTAGTTTAACATCGAATTCGAGTTTAAGTCTCGACATAACCAATGTGTCATAGAACAACCTAATTACTAAATGTAATTGATTGAGCTAATATAAATTCCTATTAGATAAGAGATTTTGTTCATTTTTCCTAATGGCATATTGGTCCCTTTGAACACGGCTAATCTCGCGTTCTTGCCTCTTACAAGAGTAACTCGCCTCTACACGTGGCTTTTTCTCTTTCTTTGTTATGCCTTTACAATGAAAATCTAGGTCCCTTTCACATACATATATACATACCCCACACACCTTACCTCCCAATCCCAATTCTAGTTTGTATCTATGTGATCTTTATTTTCCACTCTATAAATATATTCCTTATAGTGATCACTCGGCATTTCTTTCATCCCAATTCCCACATTATTTGCGCTCACAACAAGTGCAAAATTTAATACATTACTACAAATATTGTTGCACACTTTCCAGTTCCACTTATTGTCATCTATTTTAACCAAAAGTACTTGACGAGTAACATATTTACAAACTTTCCTACCTCATACCTTTGGAATTGTTCCCATTTCTTCCTAAACATAAGTCTACTTTTATTTCTATATTTTATTTCAATTAAACAATATCTAACAAGATGGCGATGCATATAGATATGATTCTTTCTATCAATCACTCTTATATATTTTCAACTTGAAATTTATTTGCTAGCTAAAATTTTCAAGGAAGATTGGAGAATTATCCCAATAAGTTTTTGAAAGCCGATAAATAGTATATGAGTTTTGAGATTTCATCCTAAGGAATGGAGTTTGCGAGTGGGAAACTCTTTTCTTTATATAAGAATATTCTCAATGTATCCTTAGTCTCATGTCACAAGTGATGCCTAGTATAACATATCATAACTACCTAATAAGAGATAAATGTATTAAACCAATTAGGTACATTCCATGAAACTAATTATCATAATTATCATGCACCAAAATCCTTTCATTTCATGATCTTGATCTTAGCTAAGAGTCATGTAAGTGTCAAACCCTAATGACTTAG